TATTTTAAGTCTTTTTTCAATAAGTAACTAGAAAACAAAACAGAAACTGCAAAGTCAACGTGTGCCATATTTTTATATTTCAAAGTCTCGTTTCTTTTGATGCATATATATAATATAAAATGATTTTATCTCAATAGAGCTAACTCACTTTTTGAAAATAAGTTACAAAGGCACCTTATTTGATTTCTACTTATTTCGCAATCGTTTGGCACAAGACTGCATACTATGATCGCAAACCATATAATTTTCTCTTGTTTTTTGGAAGCTATATTTGAAAAATTTTATCACTACCCTGACTGAAATATATATCAGTAGTTTTTGAACATATTTTTGCATAGAGTCAAAACATATTCATAGTCTTTTGATGTAATATGTGAAGATCATCGCCCAGATTTTAGGAAGAACACAAAAGGATTAATTAGCGATAACGATGGAGGACATTAAACAAATAATTTTGTAATTACTGTTATGATGTCACAGATATTGATGATAATACGATAAAAATAGTTTTCAGACATTTTGTATAACGTCAAATTTTCATGATTCTTTCAGGTTTTTTATTTAAAAAACCAACAACAAATGCTATAGTTCACTCAAATGTTTTATCGTCTTACTTTTCATTCCTTTTCCTGTCCACAAATATGTTATATAACAGAAAAATTTCACATCTGTTCGAACAAGAAATATAACAAACAAACAATACAGAATCGTAAGTAAAAATAAATTGTTTTACTTACGTAAAATCATTGAGTGTCGTAATGTAGTTGATGAAAATGATGCTCGACTTTTACGTTCGAAATGCCACGCAACACTAAATGCCGATTCGCTGGGAACGTTGGTACACGGTATACAGTTATAACGCTTAACAAACTGTGGCAACTGTGGAAAAAGTACTTCATTTTTACATCAGTATTGCCTAAAACTTGGACTGGTAAGAACTGTAGACATCTAGTGGCGGAGTTCTTCTTTAAAACACAGTTGATTTTTCATAAAAATTGTTGCTGGATTAGATGATGAAGACATTTTGCAGATAGAATAAAATTGACCTAATGAAGATCTTTGTTTCATTCTGTTTAGAAAGGAACGGATGAATGTAATACGTCTCTATCAGCATTCAGCTCGTTGTCCTGTGGCATTACGTGCCTTTTTGGAATGTAATACAGTGTATTGTCGTTTCGTTTCACAATTATGGAATGAACCTATGCCAACTAATTTCGACTTCATGGGCGAACCAGTCAATCGAGAATCAAAAGTGGGTCATCTTGTACAGAATAGTGTCATTAAACATCGAAAAGTGGGTAAATATCTACAACGTGTACCGTTGCCACCAGCTCAATACATCTTCTCGCATCAACAACGGCAACAACAACGTTTCTTCTTTCGAAACATGGCTTCTCGTGTCTGCGGCATTATTCCTTATCGTTTGTTGGACTTGCATCAAGTGAAAATCATTGCTGTTTGTGAGTGAATATTTTTGTCTTGTGCGAAAGCTATTGTTACC